TGTAGCACCACAGTCAGCACCGTTACCACTCGCAATCCACGCATCGACAATCCAGCCGCCAACTTCGCACGTCGCACCCCGACCTCACGGCTCGGCGGGTAACCCGCGCTCCGGGCCTCCGCTTCGACACTTTTCCCAACCTCAGTCCCAGGCCCGTCGCGCGACAACCACAGTCCATTACCGTTACCACTGTAGTTTCGCTATATATTCTTCGCTCATGCCTTCGCTCATTGTACTCTTGCTTCGATATTGCAATTCTCGCTCGTTCACTCAATTGCACTCGTAACAATACTCTATACTTTACAGCTTATGCTATTGAACTAAGCATACAGAAAGTCACAAGAAAGTTCCTCTTCCGGGTTTGAGCGCACTGAAAGGTAGAATGAACATATGTCTAGGAATTTGACAGCCAATATACATGCGCAACTGCACCTAGAATATATTACAAGAGTGCACAGAGCTAGCAATCTAAGAGACACAGACTCTAGTACCAGCTACTGGAGACGTTTCTGTTCTGTGCCTCCACAGAGAATTATCACCCTGTGCTTGCTTCTTTGTCACCAGCAGCTTAAAAGAGGTCTTGCTGCTGCCTTGGTGGTGCTGCCAGCGTTCCTCCTCCCTCTGCACTTCACAGCGTGCTCTCTCTCCTGCTGCTGCCTCATGCTGCTTGCTGTGGGCTTCTGGTGGGCTAGAGCACCACCACGTGCATTCCATGCCTTTCCCTCCACACCACCCACCTTCACACGCGCTCCTGTGCTGCCTACCTCGGGAATCCGCCAGGGCAGAACCACTCTCAGCAGCGGCAGCAGCAGTGGCATGAGCAGCGAGTGCAGCAGCAGCAGCAGCAGCAGGGCGGCGTGCAGTGTGTTGAGCACATCAGAACTCGTCCCGTTGCTGCATGACGTCTCAACGTCGTCGCTGCCAGTGCTCGTTTGGTAGCAATCACTCCGCGGATCCTCCTCCTCCTCCTCCTCCGCCTCCTCTGCAGCCGCCGCGCATACAGTGGAGAAGCTCAGCGGCACTTGCAGTTGGGACTGCGTTTCCGTCGACTCAGAAATCGCCTCGGAAGTCGCTTCAAGAGTCGCTTCAAGAGTCGCTTCAAGAGTCGCTTCAACAGTTGATTCAGAAGCCACCGCGCATGCAGTCGCGGAGCTCGGCGTCACTTCAAGATGCGCGCGGGACTGCGTAACCTCTTCGCGCTTCCTCCAGATGCTCAGGACTTCCGCGAACGACGACGAGGTGTATGCACGCGCGGAAGCGTCGGCCATTCAACAGGTACTCGAGGATACCGACGGGCCTGCCGAAGCGTGAGTAAGAAACCGAGAGGCGGAACTAGCTGGGACGAACCTTGAGGGAACACTGGTTGCTGTTGCAACCTCAGGTGCAAAGCTAGAAGTACCGGAGAGAGCTGAAAGCTTAGGATGATCTGATCTGGCAAGGATAGTAATGCTGCAGCTGTGGGTGCTGGCTCGAGAGTAACGAGATAGTACGAAACTGGCGATCAAAATCAGCTGGAGAGTTGAAACTTAGAGCGACGAATGAGGCTGCGTAGAGGGAGTGCGGATTTGAACTCGGAGAGGCGATCGCAGGCGACGAGGGGAGAGCGAGAGGGTTGCTGCGACAAGGCGGGGTGGAGGAGAGCTGAGGCATTGGGAACTCACGCAGCGGGCAGGCACGGGCACTTTCCGCCGTCGATGCGGGGACTCGCATGCGCTTTCGCGCAATGCGAAGGGGAACGAAGCTATTTCCGAGGCAACGTCAAGCCTCTGGCCGTGGCTTCCTCGGACGTGACAAAGCGCTGCAGTCCGGTGGATTGCTCTTTCCAGACGGTGCAGATAGTCCATTCACCCCGAACCTGCTGGCTAAGCGATTTTGCCGGAAGGAGCTGCGACGCGAAATCTTCGTCATTCCAACCCCCCCTGCCCGTGACAATCTGCGTGTGCGGAGGCGGAGGCTGCTTTGGGACTCGCTAGGGCACTGAACGACTTCGAAACGCATTCGCGATGGAATCAGCAGACGCCACCGATAACATCGCGTCTGGTTACTCTGCTTGGATCGCCTATTTCGAAATGGCGGGAAGAGACCGACAGGCAGAGTGCTTCGGTGCGCGAGCGCGACTCTCCGACCGCAGCGTTCAGATTCTGTACTCCTTTTAGGGAGCCTCGTTTTACGAAAGTGAAGTGTTTCAGGGTACCATAATCACCCTTCAGCAGTTACACTTCTGTTATAAATTCTGACGATCGCATAAGGACCCTTCCGGTTGTAACAGTCTCAGGTGTGTTGCATTGGCGATCTCAACTTCTTCAAGCTGATAGTACATTATAAACAGTTCCCTTGCATTGAAAGGAATCAAGAGCGTTGCTGTTTTTATTTTATTTTCCAATGATATTTCATTAAACACAAGGGCAATGGGTAATTCGGGGTCTAGTATTCTTTTTATGCGTACACATATCGAACGGGCCAACATCATAGACATGCAGTTTAGTCTGGTAACCCTATCCAATGGTATGCAAAACCGTCGATACCCTAGTTCTGCTGCGCAAGTTTGTCTGGTAGCGCCACTCAAAACACGGTGTAACAGCTGACGCAGCACAAAAAAGGAAGAAATATGAAATATAATCAGTTTTGTTTTCGATTTTGTATTTTTGTGGTTCTTACCGCGCCCCGTTTGGCGCCTAACAAATATTCCTCCGGGCTACTATTTTCTGCTAATGTGCACGATACATTTACGAAAAATCCATTGGAATGAAATTATACGGGGTCCATTTTGTAACAATTTATTGCACCCAATATATTGCTACCGAGAAGTGTTAGGGCAGGGCGAAAAACAATAAAACCCCTAGGGATCTGGAAGCATTTCCGGGAGGGATCAACCCTAAACATGGGAAAGGACATTGTTTTTAGGGTTGATGCCTCCCTGACGCATCCCGTCCCGATTGGGATTTATTTTTTTCTTGGCCCGAAGAAATCACGTCTTAGTGCGAAGAAAAGCGCGGTAAGGATCAATCTCTAAATAAAAAGCAAACGCATTACTAGGGCAGTATGTCAATACCTCCAAAACTGAGGTAAGACGGTTTTGCATACCATTTGATAGGGTTACCATACTAATTTGCATGTCTATGATGTTGGCCCCATATCGAACTGTCCGTTGTAGAGTTTTGGCGACATGAGAGTGGTGCTCCTACTCCCCAAATGAACAATTCGCATGGTGCCGTTTCCCGCCTTGTGCGACGGAAAACGGCTAGTTTGATACAAGACACAGCCCAGAACCCGCAACAGTAATCGCTAACCATTCTCAACCTGCTGACAACCATTCTCTTCCTACAGTACCATGGTGGTTGTGTCGTTCGAGCAACAGAATCTCGACTCGCATTTTCTGGCTACTGAATTCAGTTGCTTCCTGAGACGACTACATTAATTTTAGGATCTGGTAACCCGTCTCTCTAGAAACTCTGTCGGATCTGCCGCGGCCTGGCTTCCACGGATGGTTTTTTCGCCTTATGCCTTAGCTTATTCAATCTCTTGTTCGCTGTCGCAGTTGTTGCGCAGCTGCTCGAATTTCCTACCGCGTTTCACTGCCCATTATCGGAGCACCGTTTAGGACGGCAGCTCTGGTGACATTGCGTTGAAATCTGTTTGGCGTCTTAGGCCCATGATGGATGGCAAAAAAACGAGGCACGAAGAGAGGGGACGGTTGCGGCTGTGTTAGAACGATAGTATTCTACCTTCGGAACATTGTCAATCTATAGCTTTAGACGAAAACTGCTGTTTATATCGCGTTGATCTCATTCATTTCTGTCTGTACTTTATTCAGTTCTCAGTATAGTTGGGGATCACGGACGGTGTTCCTTCCTTCCTCGCGTGGATCTCGACAGAAACGTCGTGTCTCGAACCACGAAGCCGCAAACAACGCGTTATAGAGTAGATTTGACACTAGGATTTGGGCGGATTGCGCTGGACGAAGGCGAAGCAAAGAAACAAAGAAGCAAGGGGAGCGAGGAGTCTGCTGCCGCGCGAGTGGGGTTCTTCTGTGAATTCCTGCACGTGGCTCCCTGCCTCGAGTTGGTTCCCCATGTCCGCAACGCCCTTGTGCGTCTCGTCCAGATAGACCATAGACAATCTCTTCTGCCTGCGTCTGACGCTTCCTCATCCGCAACGGACACGGCTCTCAGAGCACCTGCTGCTACTGCTGCTGCTGCTGCTGCTAGGTCTGACTGCTAGCCGACTAAACTAACCGGCGTCAAGATTAGTCGACGACCACTAGGCAGCTGCACCAGTACTCTTCAGAACCGCGAAGTTGTCGGACTACCATCCGTCGCCTGTGCACGCGCGGCGCGGGGTCGCGGCGAAGCGAGGGAAGGCGGGGCGAGGCGAGGCGCAGCGCTGCGCGCAGCGTCGCGATGTTTTCGCTGCTGCTCGGGTTGTGGCGGTACTTCTTCTCCAAGGCCGAATACCACATCCTTATCCTCGGCATTGACAAGGCCGGCAAAACGGTGAGCCGCCGACTTTTGACTCGCCTCGATAGTCACCTTGTGGCGGTACTTCTTCTCCAAGGCATGGTGAGTACCACATGCTCATCCTCCGCATTGACAAGGCCGGCAATACGGTGAGCCACCAACCAGCGGTGGGTTTGAGTCAACTCAAAAAACACCTTCCGGGTCGACTCAAACCATATCACATCCTCATTCTCAGCCATTGACAAGGCCGGCAGAACGGTGAGCCAGCCAGCTGTGGGGACCGGCGGACGTTGGAGTCGATTTAGTGTTACACGCCCTCACTGCAGAAATTGGCGGTTTTAAATGTGGGAGTTTCCCAAGAGAGTTGTAAGTACTGTTTTCTACTGTTCGCATGATGAGTACAACATTGTCATTGTCGGCAGTGACGCAGGGACAAGGCCTGCACTGCACACAACGGTGAGCCCGCGGCGTTGCCGAGGCAACGGGAGTGGGAGGCTGGTTGTGAGTGCGAGGAGTGAAAGGCGATATTAGAGGCGTATCGACATGGTGACGTATGGTGGCGTGTGGCAGCATGTGGTGAGCAGAGGACTACGAGGGCACACCGCTTGTCGCCTCCGTTTTCCTCAATTCCCTTCTCTCCCCTCATATGCGGCCCAAACCTCCCCGCGCCGCACTCCCCCGTTGCGTTTCAGACCCTCCTGGAGCGCGTGAAGGGCCTGTACACGGACCACAAGGGCATCCCACCTTCTCTCGCTCTGCTCTGCACCCGTGTACATTTTCTCAAACCACCCCCTCTCCCCCTCTTTCCATCTCCTCAACGCCCACGCCCGCAACCCTTCCTCCCCCCCCCCCCTCCCCCCCAGACCCTCCTAGAGCGCGTGAAGGGCCTGTACACGGACTACGAGGGCATTCCGCCTCCCCTTGCCCTTGCAGCAACCCCTCATTCTCCTCTCCCCCCTCTCCTTCCCCAGACCCTCCTAGAGCGCGTGAAGGGCCTGTACACGGACTACGAGGGCATTCCGCCCGACCGCGTGGTGCCCACGGTGGGGCTAAACATAGGGCGCGTGGAGGCGCACAAGGCGAAACTCATCTTCTGGGACCTGGGCGGACAGGTGCGCAAGGGGGGGAGGGAGAGCCGACAGAGGGGAGAGAGAGGGGGAATGGGAGGGAAGTATAAACATAGGGCGCGTGGAGGCGCACAAGGCGAAGCTCATCTTCTGGGACCTGGGCGGGCAGGTGAGCTGGGGGGGAAGGGAGGATGATGGGGAGAGTGGACCTGGGCGGGCAGTTGAACGTGGAGGGTGCTGGATGCGTGGTGGGTCGTGGTATGGGAGAGGGAGATTGGGAGGATACCTGGGCTGGACGTGGGGCTGAGTTTGTTTTTTTTTTTTTCTATTAAATTCTCAAAAAACAAGCTCAGGTTGGGAGGATACCTGGACTGGACGTGGGCGGCCAGGTGGCGTGTGGATTCGAGAGCGAAGGAGGCAGGCCGAGAGGGGGGAACGCCGACAAAGGGGAGGGGGTGAGAGAGATGGGAGGAGAGGGGCGAGGAAGCAGGGAGGTGTTGTGTGCGTGGTGGGTCACGCTTTCTAATCCAGGAATCTTGACTTCTCCTAAGAAGCATAATCCTCACTTCTCCCTACCCCTTTTTCCTCTGCTTTCCCCTCCTCCACCCCCCTCATTCCTTTCCTTTCCCTCCCGCATTCCTTACCTTTTTCTTCCCCGTTCCTTCCCCTCCTTTCCCCCTATCCCCCCCCCATGCAGATAGGGCTGCGCACGATATGGGAGAAGTACTACGAGGAGGCGCATGCAGTGATCTACGTGGTGGACGCTGCCTGCCCCGAGAGATTTGACGATGCTAGAGGGGCGCTCGGTGGGTGCTGGCCTGCTGGGGAGTTGCTGGGTGATGGTTGGGAGTGCGAGCGGATGGGTGGTTGAGGGAGAGAATGCGTGTGTGTGCTACAGTGTGCTGGGACTTACGAGTGAGATTGCTACATGCACACCAGGAGAGGCGGCAAAGAGAAAGGGCTGGTGCTGCTGCACTCGCTTGTGGGGGTGCTGCCGCTGGCACCCTTATGCTTCTCTTACTCTTCTCTTATTCCTCTCCATCCCGTGTACCTACCTGCTAACATGGCACCGCCAAATACATCTTCTTTTCTCATGTAAATTACAACACTCTTTTCAGCTTAGAGGATCTCATGGTGGTATACTCCTGTTCCTAAGTACCAAAACATAACTGGAGCTGAAGTTATCGCCCTCTGTCTTTTTTCTCTCTCCCTCTCTCAAGCGTCACAACTGCTCTGTCTCACCTTTGCCTCATCCCCGTGCTTATCTCTCTCCCGTGCATCCTCATTCCTCCCCACCAGAGAAGGTGCTGAGACATGAAGACCTGGTTGGAGCTCCAATCCTGATCTTTGCCAACAAGCAGGTATGTGTGCATGGTGCTTGGTGGGAGGAGTGGGGAGGTTTGGATGGGTTGGGGAAGGCTGTGGAGGCATGGGGGAACTGGGAGGCAGGGGGCGGGTGGAGGGCGGGAGAAGGAAGGTTACAAGGTCTGACACAGAGGATGTTACTTGTAGCTATCGTATTTGTGGTGGTTACAAAGTTCCCACGGTGAATGCTATGTGGGTGATCTAAACCCCGAGAGATTATCGAGTGGAAAAGCAGCGTGGTGCAGTGCAGTCAGTCATCCTCGTCTCTCCTGCTCAGGCAGCAACAACGTGCCGAAGGGGCAGGGATGTTTGAACAGCGGGGAGGTGGAATGAGCGGGGGGGAGAGATGGCGGCATGAGTGTGGGAGGTCACGTAGCAGCCCAGCCCCCCCTCTTCCACCCCACAGGACCTACCAGAGGCACTGGGCTTGGAGTAATTGACCTTGACATGCACCTGACATCCCTGCATGCCGCTACTTCCCTCAATTGCCTGGCATATCTCATTGGCACCTGTCTGTGCATCCTTTTACACCTCCCTCTCTGACCTCCCACTCTCACCTCCCCATCCCATCTCCTTGCCCACATCCGCCTGTGCATGCCCCACAGGACCTAACAGAGGCAGTGGGCGAGGAGGACTTGAATCGCCGCTGCCAGTCGTCTCAAATGCCCGGCAGATCTCATCGGCACCTGTCTGCGCATGTCTCACCACCCTCTCACACCTGCCTGTGAGCCTGCAGGACCTACCCGAGGCAGTGGGCAAGGAGGACTTGACGCACTGCCTGGAGCTGAGGGACCTCAAGACGGCACTCGTCTCAGATGCCTCATCTCCTTGCTACCTGTGTTCCGCGCCCGCATCCCTGTCCCACCTATCAGGACCTGCCAGAGGCTGTGGGCGAGGAGGACTTGACGCACTGCCTGGAGCTGAGGGACCTCAAGGGGCGCTCCGCCATGGTCATGCCCGTGTGCGCCTATGATGGGTGAGATGGGGGCGGGGGAGGGGAGAGGGAGAAGGAGGGCGGGGGTGGGGGTGGTTGGGAGGAGAGGAGGGAAAAGGAGGGGGGGAGGGAAGGGGGGGCAATGCTGAGGGCGTGCAAGGGTTGGGGTGTGAACAGATGAGCGTATGATGTGTGAGCGAGGTGATGTGGGTGGGGGAAGAGTTGAGGGCGTGGGAACAGCTTAGGGTGTGTCTGGGCAATGCAAGTGGTTGTTACGAAGGGGTTGGAGGGAGGTGGGGAGCCTAAAGAGGGAGAGACCCGAGTGGGTCATTTTGTGCTGTGAGTTCGCTGTGATGGTACCTCTTGTGCACATGCGGTTTGACGGAATGTTGAGTTGTCGTATTGTTGGCGACCATTGTCGTATGGAGTCGTTGTGTGTGAGAGAGAGGGAGAGTGTGTCTGACTGTGTGTCTGCTTTTACTACCATGTGTGTATGGCAATGTGTGCATGGCAATGTGCGTGCATGTGTGCATGGCAATGTGTGCATGGCAATGTGTGCATGGCAATGTGTATGCAGCACGGGGGTGAGGGAGGGAGTGACGTGGCTGGTGGAGGCAATGAGGAAGAGCCAACGAGCAGACCTCATAAAGCAAAGGGCAGATGCTGCTGCTGCCTTCTGATATGGGCTCCGTGGGTGAGGGCATCTCAGGTGATCTCGCATAGGGAAGGAGGAGGAGGGGAGAGGCAGTTGGAGGGTTGGAGAAGGAACAGGAGGAGGCAGGTGATTGGACATGCCATAATGCTTGAAACATAGACTTAGTGGTGCTGCTCCTGTCAGCTGCTTGTGAAGGCGAGAATGTAGGTTTAGCGGTGCTAGATATGTGAGTGTGGTTGTATGTGGCGAGAAAAAGGTGGCAGGACATGTGCAGTGTAGCTGTCAGTCAAATGCTGCCTGGTCTCAACTGCCCAATAAAAAAGTAGAACAAAGTACCGGTAGCTGTAATATATGACTGGTGCTACTACCTGACTTGATACAAAGGGAAAGGCTTGACCATTGTGACCCAACTTGTGATAAGATTTTCCAGCTCGAAAAAAATGAAGACACAAGTGTTTCACCTTCTAATGTTTATCTTTCAGGAGTGTTATATAGAGACATACTAGAGTGAGTACAGATTCTTGATCTCCCATCTCGAGTACATCCCCCTCTGATCCCTAAAGAACAAGCCCATCTCAAAAATCCCTGGACACTGCCGTCGAAGTCGATTCAAATTTACTTCTTGGCAGTCACTTCCCGCCATTTCGGAGTACGACGAGTAACCAGACCCGTTTTGGTTCGGCGGCGTCCGTCCATCCCGTCGTAAATGCGTTTCGCTTCGCATACGTTTAGTGTTCTTGCGATTCCCAAACCGCCTCCGCCTTACAACACGCAGACCGTCGCGAGCAGCGGGAGCAGGAATGGTCAAAATGGACCTTCCACACCGTCAGCTAAAGGCTATGAACCGCTCTGTCAGATCCCCGGAGGCCACGGCCAGATAGCTTCGGAAATAGCTTCGTTCCCCTTCGCGTTTCGCGAAACCGCGTCTGCACATCGACAGCGCACAAGTTAGTTCTGCCCGTGCCTGCCCGCTGCGTGAGTTCCCAGTGCGATTCGCTTAGCAACTCCTCCCTGCATTATCGCTTAACCGTCAGGTTCGGTTCGAATGAACGAGCTTCACCGTCTGGACAAGTCAATCAACCGGACTGAACCGTTCTGTCACTTCCCCGGAGGCTACGGCCAGAGGCTTGACACTGCTTCGGAATTCGCTTCGTTCCCCTGCGAGTCCGCACACCGCACAAGTTCGTTTTGTCCGTGCTTGCCCGCTGCGTGAGTTCCCAGTGCCTCGGCTCTCCTCCACCCCGCCTTGTCGCAGCAACCCTCTCGCTCTCCCCTCGTCGCCTGCGATCGCCTCTCCGAGTACAAACCCGCACTCCCTCTACTCACCATCATTCATCGCTCTCTCTTCTTCGGTTTCAACTCTCCAGCTGACCTCGATCGCCAGTTTCGTACTATCTCGTTACTCTCGAGCCATCTCCCACAGCTGCAGCATTACTATCCTTGCCAGATCAGAATATTCTAAGCTTTCAGCTCTCTCCGGTACTTCTAGCTTTGTACCCGAGGCTGCAACAGCAACCAGTGTTCCCTCAAGGTTCGTCTCTGCTAGTTCCGCCGCTCGGTTTCGGCCTCACACTTCGCTCGGTTGAATGGCCGACGCTTCCGCGCCTGCATACACCTCGTCGTCGTTCGCGGAAGTCCTGAGCCTTTGGAGGAAGCGCGAAGAGGTTACGCAGTCCCGCGCGCATCTTGAAGTGACGCCGAGCTCCGCGACTGCATGCGAGGTGCCTTGTGAGCCAACTCTTGAAGCGACTTTTGAGGAAACTCCCGAGGCGATTTCTGAGTCGACGGAAAAGCAGTCCCAACTGCAAGTGCCGCTGAGCTTCTCCGCTACATGCGTGGCGGCTGCAGAGGAGGCGGAGGCGGAGGAGGAGGATCTGCGGACTGAGTGCGACCAAACGAGCACTGGCAGCGTCGCCGTCGAGACGTCATGCAGCAACGGGACGAGTTCTGTCAGCAGTTCTGTCAGCAACGACACGATTTCTGAAAAGGACGTGAGGATGTATAGTGATGGCGGCAGGTGGTTGGTGGCGGAGGTTGCAGTGGGATCAGGTGGTGCCACTGCTGATGCACTCAACACACTGCACGCCGCCCTGCTGCTGCTGCTGCTCCTGCACTCGCTGCTCTTGTCACTGCTGCTGCCGCTGCTGAGAGTGGTTCTGCCCTGGCGGATTCCCAATGTAGACAGCACAGGAGCGCGTGTGAAGGTGGGTGGTGTGGAGGGGAAGGCATGGAATGCACGCTGTGAAGTGCAGAGGGAGGAGGAATGCTGGCAGCACCACCAAGGCAGCAGCAAGACCTTCTTGGGTGCCTTGAATCTGCTGGCGCCAAAGAAGCAAGCACAGGGAACTGTTCATGGAAGAACAGAACAGAAACGTCTCCAATAGCTACTTGAGTGTGTCTCTTAGATAGCTAGCTCTGTGCAATCTTGTAATATATACTAGTGCAGTAACGCATGTATATTGCCTGTCAAATTCCGAGACATGTACATTCTACCTTCCAGTGCGCACACTGTGCAGAAGAGAGATGATACTGACGTATTTTTGTGACTGGTCGGAATTTGAAGTCATACAAACGGGCGTCCATACCAAGGTGCCTAATTACCTAGGACACAACAGGTGTTGATGGGTATTTATGCCCGCACTCAATAACGAGTACTTTTGTTCAGGGCGGGTCCGAGAAGTACGTACTCGCAACATACCCTACCTAACCATTTCAGTTCTTATTCAGACGGCTTTGGAATGTACCGAACATTACTCAACCGCATTCGGACGTACTCTCCAGACATGCCCTCACATCTTGCATCGCGCATGGCTTGCGGTTTTACGCTGTGAGTCATTGTTGCAACACACCCAAATGCGCAACGACGACTGGCCAAGAGCGATCATGGCTGAGATTCTCGGTGAGCTCAGGTTAGCTTGGGAGACGTTTCGTACATGCCGAACAACGATCGGCTCGCTGTTTCTAATAGCAGCGGCCGAGCTGGGAGCGAGAGGTTGTGGGGAGCACAGTTAGTCATATTAGCTCGGAAGCCTTGTGTATACACACCTCTCTTCTAACTTCGCCATGGCGTTCAGGGTTGGATCTGCGGAGAGCTTGAACGTTGCAGCTGTGCGACGATTCTCTCTGGGCAACGATTCTCTTCTGGATCCTTCAGGGTGAAGGATGAGATGACCCTCTCTGGGCAACGATTCTCTTCTGTACAGAATCGTCACCCTGTCACGGATGGTGGCCACAGCGCATCGACAGGGTCACAATTCTCTTCTGTACATCCTGCGGTTCAGCGCGTTGTATCTTGCCCACGTTGGTTGGTGGTTGGTTGGTTCTGAGGGAGCTTTGCTCACGTGCTGCGCAGAGTCAACGCCCTAGAAGTCCCGAGATGTGGCAAATGCGGCGAGAGAAGCTGCTCTGAGCACGGGTGAGTTGTCCTTCGTTTTCCTCCAAAGGCCCTTTGCTGAGGAGGCGAAAGGTGGCGAAAGGTGGCGAAAGAAGCTGCGGGGGTGATAATGGGGGAGAAGGACGAGGAGTGCTGAATGTGAGCGGTTGTGTTTGGGCGGGCGGCCTGGTGAAGCAGGCCGTTGGGGGAAGAGGAGGGAAGAGGAGGGAAGAGGAGGGAAGAGGAGGGAAGAGGAGGGAAGAGGAGGGAAGAGGAGGGAAGAGGAGGGAAGAGGAGGGAAGAGGAGGGAAGAGGAGGGAAGAGGAGGGAAGAGGAGGGAAGAGGAGGGAAGAGGAGGGAAGAGGAGGGAAGAGGAGGGAAGAGGAGGGAAGAGGAGGGAAGAGGAGGGAAGAGGAGGGAAGAGGAGGGAAGAGGAGGTAAGTGGGCGTGTGGACTGGAGAGCGAGGGTGGGAGGGGTAAAGGGGTAAGAGCTGACAGGGGGAGAGAGGAGAGAGAGAGAGAGAAGGGGAGTCCTGGATGCATGGTGGGACTCATAGTCTCCCACAACAGGCTGAGACATTCTACAAAACATTATATTTATCTTCACCCTATTCCCCCCACCCCCTCCCCTTCCCCTCTGCATCGCTTCTCCCTACCCCCCTTTTTTCAATCATTCTCCCTTCCCCTCCCCTCCCCTGTGCCTTCCCCTCGCCCCCCCATGCATGGCAGAGGTGAGAGGGAGGCATGGGGAAAGTGGAGCGCGGGAGAAGGAAGCATGCAAGGTGTTGTAAGTCCGTACTTGGAGCTTTCACGTTCTTGGTGGTTAAAACGTAACTGCAATGAATGTTGCCTAATAGTAGTGAGAGTAGGTAGAGTATGATATCAGTGTGGTGTGGCTGTATCAGAGCCATGCTCCCTCTTTCCTGCTCACAGAGCAGCATCGTGCTGGCGCAGGGTGTGGAGAGGGGGAGATGGGTTTGTGGGGGAGGTGGAATGATGATTGGGGGGGGAGGTGGAATGATGATTTGGGGGGGGGGAAATGGAATAACCCTCTTCTTTCGCCTCCGCCGCCCAGCTCTATCCCATCTCCCACCTTCCCTGCCCTCCTCCCTGTGCTTATTGCACTGGACCAACCACCAGAGGCAGTGGGTGTGGAGGACTTGACTCACTGCCTGCAGCAGTCACCTTCTTTCATCACCACCTGCTGCTCAAGCCTGGAAAGTCTCATCACCGCCTGCCACTCATCCTTAACACCTCCATGCCTCGCCTCCCTGCCGCAACCCCCTCACACATCCCTCTCCTGCCTCCCTTGCCCACCTCCCTTCTGCCTCCCTCTCCCCCCTTCCTCTCTCACCTTCCTCTCCCGCCTTCCTCTCCCACCTCCCCCTGTGCGCACCCACACAGGACCTACCAGAGAGGCAGTGGGCGAGGAGGACCTGATTCACTGCCTGGAGCTGAGGGAGCTCAAGGGACCACCCTTCTCAAATGCCTCATCTCATCGCTACCTATCTGCACGCTTTTACCCTGGCTCACCTCCCCCTCCCACCTGCCTCTGATCGCCACCCACGCAGGACCTACCCGAGGCAGTGGGCAAGGAGGAGTTGACTCACTGCTTAGAGCTGAGGGACCTCAAGGGGCCACTCGCCTCAAATGTCTCATCTCACCTATATGCACGCTTCTACCCTTGCCTCTCCCACCTGCCTGTGACAACCACTCCTCAGGACCTACCCTCGGCAGTGGGCGAGGAGGACTTGACTCACTGCCTGGAGCTGAGGGACCTCAAGGGGCGCTCCGCCATGGTCATGCCCGTGTGCGCCTATGATGGGTGAGATGGGGGCGGGGGGGAGGGGGAAGGGGGAAGGGGAGGGGAGGGGAAAAGGGGGGAGGAAGGGACGGGAGGGGGCGAGGGGTGCTCAAGGGACTTCAAGGGTCGCTCAGGGTTGGGGTGTGGTGTGATAACAGATGAGCGTAGATGTGTGAGCGAGGTGATGTGGGTGGGGGAAGAGTTGAGGGTGTGGGAACAGCTGAGGGTGTGTTTGTGCAATTCAAGTGGTTGTTACGAAGGGAGTGGAACGGAGGTGGGGACCTTAAAGAGGAAGAGGCCCGAGTGGTTCTTTGTGGGGATGCAGCTTGACAAAAGGTTAGGTCGTCGTATTGTTGGCGACCATGGTGGGGTGTTTCTTGACTGCCCTGGCACTACTCAGTGGCTTTGCAGAAAGTAGAACGTATGTGCATGTATGCCTGTATGTGTCTGCTCGTGTGTGTCTGCTCCTGTGTGTTTGTGTGTGAGAGAGAGGAGAATGTGTCTGACTGTGTGTCTGCTTTTACTACCATGTGTGCATGCCAATGTGTGCATGGCAATGTGTGCATGACAATGTGTGCATGGCAATGTGTGCATTGCCAAAATGTGTGTGCAGCACGGGGGTGAGGGAGGGAGTGACGTGGCTGGTGGAGGCAACGAGGAAGAGCCAACGAGCTGACCTCATCAAGCAAAGGGCAGATGCTGCTGCTGCCTTCTGATATGGGCTCCGTGGGTGAGGGCATCTGAGGTGATCTCGTATAGGGAAGGAGGAAGAGAGGAGAGACAGCTGGAGGTGTGGCAAAGGAACAGGAGGAGGAGACAGGTGATTGGACTTAATGCGTGTAGCCATGAAAACATACTGGTAGACTTACTGGGTGCGGTGCTGCTCCTGTCAGCTGTTGTGAAGGCAAGTATGTAGGTTTAGTGGTACTAGATATGTGAGCGTGGTTGCATGTGTTGAGAAAAAAGTGGCAGGACATATGCAGCTGTCAAGTCAAATGCTGTGTGGTCTCAACTGCCCAATAAAGGTGTAGAACAACGTCTGGTAGCTGTAATATATGATTAGATACAAAGGGAAATGTTGACCATTTTACCCATATTGGGATAAGGTTCTCCAACTGGAAAAAAATGACACTTTGATCAGATGTTCGACCATTAGTAAAAGACAGGTTTGGATGAAGAATGTTTTTTCGTGTGGCACACAATCAGATGTTACCATTCCACAAATGGTTTTTAGAGACATACTACAAGGAGTACAGATTCTCGATCTTCCATCTCGAGTTCATCCCCCACTAATGGTTTTGAAGCCCCTCATTACTCCCTAGGCACTGCCGTCAAAGTCGATTCAAAATGACTTCTTGGCAGTCACTTCCCGCCATTTCGAAGTACCACGAGGAGTTACCAGACGCGTTCCGTCGTAAATGCGTTTCGCATACGTCTAGTGTCCTTGCGATTCCCAAACCGCCTCCGTCTTCGCACACGCAGACCGTCGCGAGCAGCGGGAGCAGGGATGACAAACCATTCGCGTCGCAACTCCTCCCGGCATATTCGCTTAGCCACCAGGTTTGGTTAAAATGGACCATCCACACCGTCAGCTAAAGGCAAGCCACCGGACTGCACCGCTCTGTCAGGTCCCCGGAGGCCACGGCCAGATAGCTTCGGAAATAGCTTCGTTCCCCTTCGCGTTTCGCGAAACCACATGAGAGTCCGCTCACCGACAGCGCACAAGTTCGTTCTGCCCGTGCCTGCCCGCTGCGTGAGTTCCCAGTGCGAATCGCTTAGCAACTCCTCCCTGCTTGAATCCGGCAGGTTCGGTTCGAACGGACGCCTCACCGTCTGGACATGGAAATCAACCGGACTGAACCGTTCTGTCACTTCCCCGGAGGCCACGGCCAGAGGCTTCTGTTTCGGAATTAGCTTCGTTCCCCTGCGAGTCCGCACAGCGACTGCCCGCTGCGTGAGTTCCCAGTGCCTCGGCTCTCCTCCGCCCCGCCTTGACGCAGCAACCCTCTCTCGCTCTCCCCCCGTCGCCTGCGATCGCCTCTGCGAGTACAAACCCGCACTCCCTCTACTCACCATCATTCATCGCTCTCTCTTCTTCGGTTTAAACTCTCCAGCTGACGTCGATCGCGAGTTTCGTACTATCTCGTTACTCTCGAGCCAGCTCCCACAGCTGCAGCACTACTATCCTTGCCAGATCAGAACATTCTAAGCTTTCAGCTCTCTCCGGTACTTCAAGCTTTGCACCCGAGGCTGCAACAGCAACCAGTGTTCCCTCAAGGTTCGTCTGCTAGTTCCGCCGCTCGGTTTCGGCCTCACACTTCAAGTGACTTCGCTCGGTTGAATGGCCGACGCTTCCGCGCGTGTATACACCTCGTCGTCGTTCGCGGAAGTCCTGAGCCTTTGGAGGAAGCGCGAAGAGGTTACGCAGTCCCGCGCGCATCTTGAAGTGACGCCGAGCTCCGCGACTGCATGCGCGGTGCCTTGTGAGCCAACTCTTGAAGCGACTTCTGAGGAAACTCCCGAGGCGATTTCTGAGTCGACGGAAAAGCAGTCCCAACTGCAAGTGCCGCTGAGCTTCTCCGCTGCATGCGCGGCGGCTGCAGAGGAGGCGGAGGAGGAGGAGGAGGATTCGCGGACTGACTGCGACCAAACGAGCACTGGCAGCGACGAGACGCCATGCAGCAACGGGACGAGTTCTGTCAGTTGTTCTGTCAGCAACGACACGATTTCTGGAAAGGACGTGAGGATATACAGTGGGATCAGTGATGGCGGCAGGTGGTTGGTGGCGGAGGTTGCAGTGGGATCAGGTGGTGCCACTGCTGATGCACTCAACACACTGCACGCCGCCCTGCTTTTGCTGCTGCTCCTGCACTCGCTGCTCATGCCACTGCTGCTGCCGCTGCTGAGAGTGGTTCTGCCCTGGCGGATTCCCGAGGTAGGCAGCACAGGAGCGCGTGTGAAGGTGGGTGGTGTGGAGGGGAAGGCATGGAATGCACGTGGGGGTGCTCTTGCCCACCAGAAGCCCACAGCAAGCAGCATGAGGCAGCAGCAGGAGAGAGAGCACGCTGTGAAGTGCAGAGGGAGGAGGAACGCTGGCAGCACCACCAAGGCAGCAGCAAGACCTTCTTGGAGGTCTTGAAGCTGCTACTGGCGCCACAGAAGCACTCACAGAGAAATAATACGGTAATTCAGGGAGGCACCGAGATGTCTTCAATAGCTTGCTGAATGCAAGCCTGTTTGAGTGAACTAGCTGTGTGCAATTTTGTAATATATAGGTTCATGCTAGTAGTACATGTTATGTCAAACTTGCAGATTCAACTATTAAAGTTGAACACATAACGTTCAGTGTGGATGTTGTGAGAACTCTCAAAGTTAGCGAACAACGGAATGATTGGAATAGAAACGAATGGGGTACAAATGAGCAACCCTAGAAGCTGTACCCCCTAGAGTGCAACTCACTATAGCCTATCATATCAATGTTCAACATTTGACACACCCCCATAGGCTAAGTGAGGGGCATCAAAGCAAGCAAGGTGAACAAACGGTCACAAGACCAGTCAAAGCAAGAACCAAGGCAAGCTCAGGGTGGATCTCAAGGACACCACACAAATTCCGAGCGCAAGCAAGCGGCCACAAGGCCAGTTCAAGAGTTCACTAGGATATAAATACAAAGCACAACAAGAAGAGCAAGGAACAGGACTACACCAACCGAGGGCCTACCTCAACAAGCCCCAATTGCACACAGAACCTGTGGTGGTCACCAAGCGCCAAGGCCTTGGTGAAGACGTCTGCAGTGTTGGCCTCTGAGGCCACAAAGTCCAGGCGTGCCTGACCGCGTCGCTGCAGCTCTCGCAGGAGGAAGTACCTCACGTCAATATGCTTCACTCTGCTCTCCAGTCGAGGCTCTCGACACAGGAGGATCATGGCCTTGTTGTCAGCGTACAAGGTCGGTGCAGAGCGAGGCCGCTCACCAAGGTCAGCGAGCAAGAAGGTCAACCAGCGAAGCTCCTGTGCCGCCATGGCACCAGCGTAGATCTCTGCCTCTGCACTGGAAGTAGCCACAGACGACGACCGTGTAGACCTCCACGACACAGCACCAGCTCCCAGACTGAAGCAGTAACCCTGAGTCGAACGCTGAGTCTCCACGTCGTCAGCGTAGGAAGAGTCGCAGTGACCAGTCAACGCCACTGGCTGAGTCCCTCCAAGCACAAGCCCCAAGCCTGATGTAGTCGCCAGGTACTTCGCCACCCTCACAGCAGCTGTCCAGTGGACAGGGCGGTGTCTCCCAGTCGCAACAAAGCGAGAAAGGATGCTGAGTGGAAAGGCGAGGTCCGGTCGAGTACAAGTCATCAGGTACATGAGGCAGCCCACCAGCTCTGCGTAGGGTCCACTGGACTCAAAGGGCTCGTCAGGAAAGGGGCCCGTGAGTCTGTGGTCAACAGCAAGAGGAGTGGGCTGTGTGGTGGAGAACTGGAAGTGGAACCGCCGAAGGACCTGCTGCACCATGTGTGACTGCGTCGGTGTGATGGTGCGACCGGCTCTGTCCCGGGTGATCTGCAGGCCAAGTTAGCGCTGCAGCTCACCCAGGTCAGTGCACTTGTGTCTCTTCTGCAGTTCGGACTTCACCTGAGCCAGGGCTGCCCTGTCTGCTGTAGCAAACACCAAGTCGTCGACGTAGACAAGGATAAAGAAATGAGTAGAACCCGCTCGAACAAACAGCGACGGGTCGGCGGAGGACGGGCTGAACCCAAGGTCACGAAGCGTGGAGCGAAGAGTGTTGTGCCACTCACGGGGCGACTGGCGGAGACCGTAGACTGGTCGCCTCAGGCTCCACTGGGTCCCAGGTGGGAAGGTGTCAGTGAAGCCAGGAGGACGGCGCAGCCAGATCTCCTCGTGCAGTCGGCCCTGGAGGAACGCAGTGGAGAAGTCGAGGGAGTGCAGCTCGTAGTCTCGCTGCGCTGCTATGTGGAGTAACACCCGAAGAGTAGTCATCTTCGGGGTCGGGACGAAGGTCTGGAAGAAGTCAACTCCCTCACGCTGACTGAAACCCCTAGCCACGTAGCGCGCCTTGAACACCGGCGGTGCTCCAGGCGGCCGCTTCACCTTGAAGAGCCGCATGCCATCGACTACGTTCGCCCTGGGAGGGGGAACTGCGTCGACGTAGGTGCCTGTGGATCTCCAAGACGCCAACTCTGAGTCCATAGCCGCTTTCCACTGAGAGGCCCACGCCCCTGACACTGCCTCGCGGTAAGTGCGAGGAGTCGGTATGTCAAGGGCGTCGGGGTCTCCCTCAGGGGAGAGCAGCATGGCACACACAGAGGGAGAAGCGGCTGCCCAGTACTCCAGCTCAGACTCTCTGTCCTCTAGGACGTCACAGCCAAGGGCAAACCCACCCCCGACGGACAGAGGACGGTAGGGAGGAGCTGGAACCACACGGGTGGCGTAGTCAAGGCGGCTGGCGGCAGCAAACTCAGCGACAGCGGCAGTGAGAGCCGAGACAGACGACGGAGGGAAACGAGGGTCGGTGACAAGAGTGGTGAGGACACGTGCGGCAACAGGACGAACAGCGCAGTAGTAGTCAGAGATAGGAGTGGGGAGGGCAGGTAGAGAGGACGGAGGAGGAGACGGGAGAACGGACACAGAAGAAGGAGAACGACGACGAGACGAACAAAGGAGGGCAGTGTGGAGGTCAGTAACAGGGGACGAGTGACGAGCACGCGGAGGACAACGAGTGATCAAGTCGCGACGGACAGAGGGAGGAGGAGACTGAGGAGGAGGAGAAGACCAGACCGCCGGACGGTCGTCAGGAGGAGGCAACGGAGGAACAAACACAGGAGGAGACTGGGAGCGGACAGGAGGAGAGGAGGAAAGGCCAAGGGCCCGCAGGCCACTCACAGGTGGGAACAACCGCCGCTCTAGAGGAAGCTGCGGTGGCGGCTGCGGCCGCTGCGGCTGCGGCTGCGGCTGCTGCTGCTGCTGCGGCTGTGGCTGCGGCTGCGGCTGCGGCTGCGGCTGCTGCTGCTGCTGCTGCCGCCGCTGCTGCTCCAGAAGGTCCAGCACCCGCAGCTCCTGCCGCTCCCTCTCCAACCGCTCCTGCTCCTCACGCTCACGCCGACGGGCAGCCTGGAGACGCGTGTCGTGGCGGTGGGGGGGCGGGGTGGACTCCGCAGAACCAGGGTCTCCAGCGTCAGTCTCCTCAGACTCAGCACCCCCAGAACCAGTACCGCCAGTGCCAGGACCTCCAACTCCAGCACCCCCAGAACTAGCACCGCTAGTGCCAGCACCCCCAACTCCAGCACCCCCAGAACCAGCACCTCCAGTGCCGGCACCTCCAGCTCCAGCACCCCCAGAGCTAGCGCCAGCTGCGCCAGCACCTCCAGCTCCAGCACCCCCAGAGCTAGCGTCACCTGCGCCAGCACCTCCAGCTCCAGTACCCCGCGACCGAGCACCCCCAGACCGAGCACCGCCAGCGGCTGCACCTCCAGCTCCAACACCAACCGAGTCCACAGTAACCTGTCGCGGAAGTGCCGAAGGCTGCTGAGGGGACTGTGAGGAGGACTGCGGGGAGGGAGACGCTACCTGACGCGCGACCGAGGGGAGAGGGGTAGCGTGGGACACACCAGACGGGGCAGGACCAGGGGGGGGCGGGGGTACCGGAGGAGCGGGAGCAGGAGGAGGAGAGGGTGCGAGGAAGAGAGGGGGAGGGGGTACCGGGAGACCTCGACAGGGGTACCGGGTGTAGTAGGACACGGACTCGTCAAACCGGACGTCACGGGAATCTAGGAACTGGTGGAGGGGAGGGTGGTAAAAGGACCAGTCAGCAGAGTCCACTGGGAAACCAAGGAAGACACAGGGGACGGCGCGTGCCGAGAGCTTGTCCGCGGAGGTGTCGCGAACAAGTGCAAGGCAGCCCCAGACTCGAAAGGCCGACCCAACACCAGGGGATCCAGTCCAAAGACTGGTCGGTGAAGCCTCGGGCCGCGAGACACGCGGCTGGAGGTTCAGCTGGTGTGCGGCGTAGCGAACCGCGTGAGGCCACAGAAAATGGGGCGCACGGGCATGAATCATGGACGTGCGGGCGATGTCCATGACCAAGCCTATGCGGCGCTCAGCAACCCCATTCTGCTGTGGGGACTCTGGCAGCGTCCAGGACTGGGTGATGCCCTGTTCGCCGCAGAATCCGCCGAGAATGCCGGAGCGAAACTCGCCCCCACGGTCGGAGTGAAGACAACTGACTCGACGACCACGAGTGCCCTCAGTGGCTAGAAGCCACCTGATCAGCGTAGCAGTCACCTCGGACTTCTTCGCAAGAGGAAACACCTTGGAGAAGTCGTCGACGACCACCAGAAAGTAGCGCTCCCTCCCAGACCCCTGCGTCGGGGCAGGGCCCCAGACGTCCAAGTGGAGAGTCTCGAAGTGAGCGGTGGCCGGACGAAGGGAGGAGGAGTGGGGAGTGGCACGTAAGCGACCGGCGACGCACGGAGAGCAAGGAGGGGCAAGCGAGGGAGGGAGCGACGGGAAGGTGCGTGGGAGACCTGTGACTAGTCCCTGACTGAGCATGCCACGAAGGTGATGGATCGACGGGTGGCCAAGACGGTGGTGCCACAGGACGGTGCGGTGGGCGAGAGAGCGACAGGAGCAAGACGCAGCGACTGGACTGGACACAGCGACCGGACTGGACACAGCCACCTGACCGGACTCTGCTACCGGGGGGGACGAAGCAACCTGACCAGACGCAGCTACCTGCGGGGGCGGAGTGTGCAGGACGAAGAGACCTGAGTGGGGCTCTCTGGTGAACGTGGCAAGAACTGCCCCGGTGGAAGAGTCCGTACAGATCGCAGTCCTCCCGTGCGCAGGAAAAGTGACTGTGATCCCCCGGTCCTGAAGGTATCCAACACCCACCAAGTTCCGAGAGAACGAGGGGATGTAGAGACCAGTGAGGAAACCAGAGGGGACAGCCGGGCACGGGAGGGTGGTCGAGCTACGAGCAACTGCTGGTCCTGAAGTAGGATCAGCCAGGGCAACTGGGACTGGAGCCGAAAGAGGTGTGACAGTGGTGTGGTCGCGGAAGAAACACTGAGACGCGCCGGAGTCCAGCGTGAAGGAGAGCGACGCAACAGCAGTCGTCACGGCTGGGCTAGTGACTACACAAGCACCTACACTAAAAGCACAAGTACCGACACTAGCAACAGGCAAAGGTCCTAAGCTAGGTACACGTAAGCCAAGAGATCCGTACGTGACAGAATAAACAGCATTCATAGACATATCAAACACAGGGAAACCACTACGAAACAGACCGGGCCAGATCGGGGGAGCCGACTCAGGCCCAAAACGCTCACGGTAAAGGTCGTCGAGGCGGCTGTAGCAGCGCTGTGCAGAGTGGTCAGGACGCCAGCAGGTAGTGCCAGCACCAGGGCCGGTCAGGATCCGGTACTGGCAGGGGCCGACGTCGCGGCCACCGCGACGAGCCCCCCAGCTGGCTGGGCCGCTGCTGCAGCCAACGCGACCTGAACCACCAGCCCCCCATGGCTGTTGAGGGCGCCACAGCTGCTGAGGGCGCCCCTGCCGCTGCGGAAGCCACTGCTGAAAAGGCCGCTGTTGCTGTCCCTGCTGCTGGAGAACCCTAGCAGACTCCATGATAAAAGCTAGCGGGGTGCAGGAGCGGCAGGCTAGGAGCGACAGGAGCGACAGGCTGCTGTGAAAAACGAGAACAACTAGGAGCGCAAGGTGAAACCAGGCGAGTAACTGCTGGAGCACGGAGCGAACTAAGCTAGGAGCGCCAGGTGAAACCAGGCGAGTAACTGCTGGAGCACGGAGCGAACTAAGCTAGGAGCGCCAGGTGAAACTAGGCGAGGAACGACTGAAGCACGGAGCAAACTGAGCTAGAAGCGCCATGTGAAACTAGGCGAGGAACGGCCGGAGCACGGAGCAAACTGAGCTACGAGCGAGGAGCGAGAACGGCTGGAGCGAGAACGGCTGGAGCTAGAAGCGGCGAGCTAGGGCTGGCTGGAGGTAGGAACGGCCGGGGCTAGAGACCGTAAGTGCGGCTGTCGGCTGCCGCTAGTAGAGCCACTGGCAGTGGAAAGTACGTGCGACAGTAGGGGCTGCAGTACTGACGGCTGCGGGATGTAGGCAACTGTGCAGGTCGTCCGGCAAGCAGGAACGCGGGCGACAGTCGCAGGCCCCCACTGTGAACCCCTTTTTTTTTTTTTTTTTTTTTTAGGGTTTAATTTATTTATTTATTTTCTGGCACTAAAGCACCCCGGGGCGCGCTGCCTGCAGGGTGTGCTGCCTGCGGGGCGCGCTACCCGCGGGGCGCGCCTCCTGCGGGGCGCGCTACCCGCGGGGCGCGCCTCCTGCGGGGCGCGCTACCCGCGGGGCGCGCTACCCGCGTGGCGCGCTGCCTGCGGGGCTGGGGTGACGAGCCAGGGAGGGCGCCTGGGCGACGGGCTAGGACGGGCGCCTGGGCGACGGGCTAGGACGGGCGCCTGGGCGACGGGCTAGGGCGCAGGCCTGGGCGACGGGCTAGGACGGGCGCCTGGGCGACGGGCTAGGGCGCAGGCCTGGGCGACGGGCTAGGGCGGGCGCCTGGGCGACGGGCTAGGGCGGGCGCCTGGGCGACGGGCTGGGGCGGGCGCCTGGGCGACGGGCTGGGGTGGGCGCCTGGGCGACGGGCTAGGGCGGGCGCCTGGGCGACGGGCTAGGGCGGGCGCCTGGGCGACGGGCTAGGGCGGGCGCCTGGGCGACGGGCTAGGGCGGGCGCCTGGGCGACGGGCTAGGGCGGGCGCCTGGGCGACGGGCTAGGGCGGGCGCCTGGGCGACGGGCTAGGGCGGGCGCCTGGGCGACGGGCTAGGGCGGGCGCCTGGGCGACGGGCTAGGGCGGGTGCCTGGGCGACGGGCTAGGGCGTGGGCCTGGGCGACGGGCTAGGGGCGCAGGCTAGGGGCGCGGAGGGCGCTAACGCGCGGAGGAGGAGGGCGCTAAGGCGCGGAGATGGCGCGGAGGGCGCGGTGGCTAAGGCGCGGAGGGCGCGGAGGGTGCTAGGGCGCAAGGGCGCGGAGGGCGCGGAGGGCGCGGAGTGTGCTAGGGCGCAAGGGCGCGGAGGGCGCTAGGGCGCGAGCTAGGCTAGGCTAGGCGAGAGGATCGACACCTACTCATGATACCATCTCAAAGTTAGCGAACAACGGAATGATTGGAATAGAAACGAATGGGGTACAAATGAGCAACCCTAGAAGCTGTACCCCCTAGAGTGCAACTCACTATAGCCTATCATATCAATGTTCAACATTTGACAAGAACCACCACATGGTATGGAAGTGGGGAGCATAATTCCACTATGCCACAGGATACAGATAGGCATACTGAGGCAAGACTGCAGCTGTTTTTGCTTGCTCGCCATGGATCCCTTGGAGCTGTGTGATTGCTCAAAATTGACTGCAACATTCTTTGCTTGACTACCTGGAGGTTTCAAACTCAATGAGCACAGAAATACTTCCTACTCAGTGGACCACAATCCATTTCTTAATAAACCTACCCCGTTCTAACATGACCAGTAAACCAGAGTCACAGGGTACTCAAGCAAGCATGAGGGGATTAATGACAAGGGAGGAGGAGGGTAGGTAGAGTGAGGGAGCAAGAATCAGGCACAGGCATCCCTTGCACTGCACACCTGCATCCCAACCAATTCGCTTTCCCTTCCTCCACTGCACTCCTCCTCCATCCTTCCAATGCCTCCTGCTGGCCTCGCACACACGCACAGCTGCATTCCCCCTCACCTCCCCTCCCTTTCCCTCCTTACTCTCCACAGGCACCACCAACCAACCCTCCGTTCACACTCACCTCCCCATCCATGTCCATTTCTCCCTTAACCCCTCCCCACGGCACCTTGGGTGCACGTGCACGTCGTTTTCCCCCTGTTCCCAAAGGCAGCAGAGACCTCCCTGGCCAACGTCATCCTTCCTCTCCTCCCCCACACTGCTCCCACCAGACACTTGCCACTCCTAGGGTCTGTCTGCCACTCTGTCGGCACACTCGCCACCCATGATTCAGGTCAACTGCCATCAAGCAGCAACGAAGATCAGGCTTGTGCCATCGGGGCAACAAGATCAGGCTGCTGCATCTCCTCTCCTCTCTCTCCTCTCCTCTCCTCTCCTCTCCTATCCTCTCCGTTTCCCCAGATCCCCCTTCCCCCATCCCCCTCCGCCCCCCCTCCCTCTTCTCTCTCCGCGCGCGCGCTCACTCGATGGCGACGGTGGCGCCGACGGCCTTGAGTTTCTCGGCGATGGCGGCGGCGTCTTCTTTGCTGACGCCCGCCTTCACCACGACGGGCGCCTTCTCAACGAACTCCTTCGCCTCCTTCAGCCCCAACCCCGCGATGCTCCGCACCTCCTTGATCACCTTCAGCTTCGCCGCCGCGTCGAACCCCTCCAGCTTCACGTCGAACGCCGTCTTCTCCTCCTTCGCCGCCGCCGGAGCCGCCTCCCCGCCGCCGCCGCCGCCGGGCGCCGCGCCGCCCGGCATCATCATCATGCCCATCGGCAAGCCGCCCATGCCGGCGTTCGCGGGCATGCCGAGCCGCTTGCGAATCACAGCCGTCAGTTCGGACATCTCGAGCAGCGTGAGCCCTAGGATCTGGTCTGCCAGCTTCCCTACGCGCTCTGTTGGCGGGGCTGGGGTTTCCGCCGAGTTGGGGGCAGAGGGGGGATCGGAAGCGGAGGAGGGCGGATCGGGGGAAGAGGAGTCCGGGGGGGCGGAGTCGGCGGCGGAAGAGAAGGGCGCGCGGGAGGTGGAGCGTAAGGGGGAATGGGGGAGGCAAGAAGCGGGGGCGGAGGCGGGGAGAGGGGAGGAGAGCGAATGGAGTGATCGCTGCTTCCGCTTCTGCTGGTGCTGCTGCTGCTGCTGGGGAGGGGGTGCGACTGCGGGAGTGGGAGATTGCGGTTGTTGCGGGAGCGGGATTTGCGGGGCGATTGGCGGCGAGTGGAGCGACGCTAGTGTTCGGCTGAGAGCGACGAGGGCGAGAGCAGCGCGGGAATGGCAAGGCGATGACGGCGAGATCGGAAGCGAGGGGATCGTCGGGGCGGCGCCAGCGCCCCCGCTCGCGCCGCGCCGAAGCGCGCCGATCGTTCGAAGCATGGTGCTTGACTCCGGAATTGGAGAATGCAGAAACGAATGTGGGAATAAGCTATGTGCGCAGGTTCGCGCGGGGCAGGTTATGGATAAGGGAGTCGCGCAGGGCGGCGAACAGCTCAGGAGTCCGAGATTCAAATCTGATCAATCTGATTACTGCGGTTCAGCTAGACCTTTAGGAGACCCGGTCTACAGGGAGAACGGCTAGAGGGCAGAGCAGATCCATCAACAGGAAAAACACGGCGTGATTTGAGCTCGACTCTTTACGCTCTGCCTGTCCTTCCCACGGTCACAGGCGCTTTGCGCGCTGTCGATTATTATCGGTGCCCCTTGGCCGTTATGGCCAACTGCACCCAGCTTGTTGTGATTATCGTTGCGATAACGAGAGGCGAAAAGCACGTGCGATTGTAACTGGCTTTGAATAGCGTCGTCAATTGGCTGCTAATTTGTTCGTTGTGTCGCGAATGCTGACGTGGAGAGTGAGTTTCTCTGGAAGGTGTGCGGATCGATGATCAACCGCCTGTGATCTGCCCCCTTTCAAACGGCCCCACAAACACTTTGCAGCTTCTCAGTGTAACAAGAGTCTGATGCCACAGCACCAGCACATCAGCTGTTATTTACAACCATTGATAAATATGTACTATAATGGCTGTCATATTATGAACGGCTATTAGAGATAAATGCCTGCTCAATAAAAATTCAACTCGTAAAGTGATGTGATAAACGAACTTTTGGAAGAAATTGTACGAAATTCGACTTCCTATCAACAATCAACAGTTACTAAAACCTCAGATAAGCTATTACGCTACACCCACATTTTCTGCATTTTCCCTCGACAAAGCAATCCAAGCCACACCTCGTTTCCTCTTTCTCCGCATCCCCCCCCCACCTCCTCCTCCTTTCCCCCACCACCTCCCCTACCCTAGGGGCTTTAGGGCCTTCCTCGCTCCTAGCTGCTTGCTCCGCAGCGGCTCTTGATCCCTTGAGAGCTCGACCAGGTCCCATTCGGCGGCGAGGGCGTTTCGGGCTTCTGTCTTAGTCCGATCTCAGGGTCCTAGACTCAAGGGTGGAAAATCGGCGCGGCCCGTTGGCCCGTCGCTGTTGCCTTAGTTCCGGTCCCTTGCCAGACCAGGCTTTAGCCTCGAAATCTATAGCCCGTTCTAAGAACGCCCACCGACCAAGCAATTTGCGCTTTACCCCCGTTCATCCTCACGCCTGCCGTATCCGGATCTTTCTTGACCATCGCGATTCCGCCATGCTTCGAACGATCGGCGCCTCGTCGGCCGCGCTTCGGCGCGGCGCCTCGTCGGCCGCCGCTCAATGCGGCGGCGCTGGCCCCGCGTCCACCATCCCCTCGCTTCCGATCTCCCCGTCATCGCCCTGCCATTCCCCCGTCGCTCTCGCCCTCGTCGGTCTCTCCCGAACACTAGCGTCGCTCCACTCGCCACCAGTCGGCCCGCAAATTCCGCTCCCGCAACTACCGCAAAATACCTCTCCCTCCCTCACACCCGCTTCCCAGCAGCAGCAGCAGCAGAGCCAGTTCGTACAGCAGCGGCGGTCGCTCCACTCCCCCTCATCGCTCCTCTCCGCTTCCGCCTTCCGCCTCCCCCTTTCCCCCCTCCACTCCGCCTCCCGCGCGCCGTTCTCGTCCTCCGCCGACTCCTCCGCGGATCCGACGGAGCAGCGCAGTCCGCCGACAGAGCGCGTGGTACGGCTGGCGGACGAGATCGTAGGGCTGACGTTGCTCGAGGTCTCAGATCTAACGGCCCTGATTCGGAAGAAGCTGGGAATGGAAGATGCGCCCATGGGCGGCATGCCGATGGGTATGATGATGATGCCGGGCGGCGCGATGCCCGGCGGCGGCGGCGGCGGGGAGGCGGCGCCGGCGGCGGCGAAGGAGGAGAAGACGGCGTTCGATGTGAAGCTGGAGGGGTTCGACGCGGCGGCGAAGCTGAAGGTGATCAAGGAGGTGCGGAGCATCGCGGGGTTGGGGCTGAAGGAGGCGAAGGAGTTCGTTGAGAAGGCGCCCGTCGTGGTGAAGGCAGGCGTCAGCAAAGAAGACGCCGCCGCCATCGCCGAGAAACTCAAGGCCGTCGGCGCCACCGTCGCCATCGAGTGAGCGCAAGCAGAGACCGGGGGAGTGGGGGAGCAGATGGGGGAAGGATGGAGGGAGAGGAGATGGAGAGGAGAGGAGTGGGAGGCGAGGTGGACGGGGAGAGATGTGGGGTAGGGGAGGGGAGGTGGGATCGGAAGGAGAGGTGCTGTGAGTGGGTTTGGGAAGGAACGGGGAGGAAGAAGGCCGTGTGGACAAGGATGGTGAGAGAGCTGATGGATGGGGGCGGTGCAAAGCATGGGTGGGGGGCACAGGGCAGAGCGGGTGGGCGCGCGGGTGAGGCTGATGGTGCTGTAGCGGAGTGAGCCGACAGCAGGGAATGTGTCATCCATGGATGAGTTGCATGGCTCTTCTATGTTCTCCCTACAGTTCTTCAGTTTAGGTTCTCCGTTCTCTCTTGTCTCGGTTCTCGCTCTCTCTTTCCCGCTTCCCCTCTCTCCCAACATCACATGCAAACTGAACATTGAGATTCCACCTTTCTGGCCCTGGCATTTTTCGATGTCCCAACGTTTTAGCTTATCTCCTGCCATTCGCGCAAGCTTCTCTTTTCCAGACCTGTCGCATCTTTCATGTCCGTATCTCTACTCTTTAGCATAAGTGGGGCCTTTGGCCCTGTTCAATGGCTATTTGAGGTGTCTATCGGTTACTCCTACTTCAGGTCCTGTTCTTGCCAGCTTGTCTGACAGTTTTGTCCTCTGTAGGCTGGTTGTATAAGGGGGTCCGAGGAGCTGCCTTCAAACTAGGCAGCGTTTTGGTTGGTTTTCGTAGGTTTTGGTTGGTTGTTGATTGGATCAGAGTGAGCTGATACGTTCTTGAAGTTCATTGAGGGTTGCCTGGAAAAATGCGATGCAACCCGCATGTTGTAGGATATGAGCACTAGCTTTCATGAAGGAATGCAATGCAAGTGCTAAAAGAAAACCCTCCACACTGAGGACAAGATCAACCTTGTAATACCGTATGTTGGTCAGGTATATAATGTTTGAAGAACCAGTAACATCTCTCAACATTCTAGCCACCCACACCCTTCCTCAAACAGCAGCAGGTGACATGAGAAGTTGGCATGGTACACCGTAGCAGTGAACTACCGGTATGATGCATCAGCTCTTTACTCCCCCTTGAACAGCGTCAGCAACAGCTTCCACCTCTTCACGCACTCGACCAACAATAGTAGGAGCCTTGACGTTAGTGCGAGCACCTGCTGCTCTTTCCTTAGCATAAGATTCAGTATGTGCTAGTGTTTCATAACCGCCAAGATTTCTCCAAATCTTCCTGAGACCTGATTTGATTGTTGAGTAGACGCTGCCATCATCCTCGCCTTCCATTCCACCCGGAACTTCTTCTCCAGAAAGTCGCTTTCTCTCACTGGGTTCATCCTCATCCATAGCAACCCTTTCCGGATATTCAGGGGCCTTTTCTTCACCTGCACTAACGTCCGAAGATTAATGAGAATCGCTGAAAGGTAGCTAACGAAATGCAAAACTGGATGCATACCTGGGTGAACGCTCAAAAGTAGTGAAGGCTGATCGCCCTGGCCTGCAGCAAAGTATGTGTCAGTATGGGATCTACGGCTGCCGCTAACAATCTTGTTTGTTTAAACAGATTTTGTAAATGAAAATTGCAACGGACCATTATTATTAGACGATGCAGCCGGCTGACCCACTGAAGTAGACATCCCACTAAGATTCGGGTATCAGCAACTCAAGTTTTTTCTTGATTTAGGAGGGAATTGACGCCGTCAAGAGGAAGGGTACTGCCAAGGTAGACGAGGTTTTGCAAAAGCCTCACGGAGGCGTTATTTCTGGGTGTCTGCCTTTTTTGCTTGCTCTCTGCTTGCTAGGTTCTTGCGTGCTTTCATTTCGTCCTTGAGATAGCCATCCGCCATGCACCGAACCTGACATTTCTGAAATTGACAAAGGCTGAGAGAAATCGAACCGCGCCTGGTGACGGAATTATCCAGGGTGGTGACGAAGATGACACGAGAGGATGACAGGTTGCGTTGATGGGCTGTCCTGCTGTGGTTGTGCGATTCTCTGTGCGACGGTTCGCCAACCTTCTCATGCGTCGTTAGATGTTCGTCCGTTCTCATGCAGTAAAAGGACCCTCAGCGGCGACATCCACATTCATGAACCCAACGCGGTGTGTCATCGCGATGCACAGTTCTGCAAACCAAGCCCAGCGAAGTTCTTCTGGTGCATCCGAACCAGTCTAGTTACCATATTTATGATTCTTGGTTTTCGCGAGCAGGCAGCTCAACCCAACCCACCAGTCGTTCTGCCTCACCTCAACCTCCCCTGAATCTCGATCGAGTTTCGCTGTAATGCGTTTCCGTGAGGTTCTTTAGACTGTAGAAACGCTTCCAAACGATTTGTAAGGAGTTGTCAGCGGTTATTGAGTGGAGCACTTCGGACAGACAGGTTTTTTACATCCACAGAAGCACCTGCATGAATGTGACTGTCAGTTAGACAAGCACCTCCATTTCCAGGAGTAATCGGATCAGAGAGTGACAGACAGCAGCTCGTTTCGTTCCATACACGCCCTCTGCGTGGATTCTTTCTACGGTAAGCAGCTCATTTTGCGATTTGTATCGCTCGCGCTCTCGCATATCCCATGTCTTTCCTCATTGTGTTTCGAGACGTCGAATAAATAGGGAGGTCAATTTTGTTGCTTCTAGTCCAGACGCCTGTGATTCGGCCTTAATATTTTGTCGTCAGTGTTTTGGTATTCGATCCATCAGTAGTGCTCTACGTGCAAGTCTACCATCACCACATTGCAGTTTCTTTGTAATGTCCTTGTTATGCGCTCACGTTCTGCATGGGACGGGTGTGCTAAGGTTGGAGCTTCCATTTTCGCGTATCAAGTTTAAACGCCGCTAAAATCCGTCTCCCAGCGTTTCTCTTCTCGCTCAGTCTTCTTTTGAGTCGACTCATTCTCGGTCTCTCGCACCTCTTTCTTATTCAGTGAAAGCAGCCCTCGCATTAGGCGACCCCATACATCTCGTCACTGTATGGTCAGTGGAAGCAGAATTTGGCTCAATGTGTGTTGTCTTGGTGTTTAAAAATGTATCGTTTGACTCTCAACTGCATCTCACACGCAGCTCTGTCGTCCGCCCAACGTCCTTGTTACATTGTCCATTTTCCTGGTCCCCTCACCTACTTCCCCCGTCTCCATTGTCCCTTTTTCTTTGTTCTCAATATCTCCTCTCTCACTTGCGCACACCTCCCTCCGCCAATATCTCTGTTTCCCCAACATCTTGTCCCTTTCCAAACCCCTGTCCCTCTCAAATCGTCCTGTCCCTCTCAGCAGCCATGGCGCTCGCTACTGCTGCTGCTCTGCTCCGCCGCTCCAGTGCCTCCTCTGCTGCTGACGTCATGGGCACAATGCGCCTCGGTGCTTCTGCTCTGCTGCAGGTAGGTTGGCCGGAGAGGGCAAAGGGGGAGATGAGGGGAGGAGATGGGATGACGGGGGAGAGAAGGGGGGAGAAGGGGAAGAGAGGGGAAGGGCGAGGGGACGTGGGATGGGGATTGGATTTTTTTTCGTGCAGTGCACAGGCCTGGGCTCATCCCTTTCTTTGACTTTACCTATCAGTTTGGTTGCAAAACACAAGTTTGGTTATGGTCATTCTTCTGACTGACCTAGTCTTCGGTGATTTGTGGGAATGCAGAACACAGGGCGAGACAATATCTGAAAGTATCAAGTTATTATTTCTCCAGATCAGATCAGCACACCTTGGCACTTGGTAGTGAGTCTTGAGTATTCTCTCGGTCCCCACTTTCCCTGCCTCCCTACCTCCCTACCTCCCTCACTTCCTCCCTCCCTCCCTCCCTCCCTCCCTCCCTCCCTCCCTCCCTCCCTCCCTCCCTCCCTCCCTCCCTCCCTCCCTCCCTCCCTCCCTCCTCCCTCCCTCTGTCCCCCTTGTCTCACACCCCTTCTTACATGCAGCATCGTGCAGCCTTCAGCAGCAGCAGCAGCCAGCCCACGGCCATAGACATGGCGTGGCCAGCTAGCCTGCAGAAGGCGCGGTCGTGGGATGATGGCGTGGCTACCAACTTCGCCACCTCCTCCCTCGCTGACGTCTTCAAAGTCCATTCCTTGACTTGGCGTTTTTCAAATCGTCCATCACCTTCGTGCCACTTTCCCCTTCTTCCCCCCCCCCCACCACTCCTCCCTCCCCCTCCCCCTCCTACTTGGCCGTTTCCATGTCGTTGGTTAGTCTCCCCTCAACTGTTCTTTTAGTTTTGCTAATCATCGCATTTGATCCTGGTCTTCTTAGAATTTTGCAACTGTCTGGTAGATGGATAGGTTTTGAAGCAGAGCGTGTGAAAATTGGTGGGGGCCATGGTGGTTCTGTTTGGGTCCCACAGTTGCAAAGGATTCAAAATCAGTCTTTATTTTGGGCTACTTCCCCTGCTTATGGGCGTTGAAAGCTTTATGATGACCCCATCTGCTGGTGACGGTGTGAGGAACTTGTTAGTGGGTCTTTGAAAAACGGGTATATGAAGCGGGTGTAGAGAAGGGTGAGCTTTGGGACGGGTGGCTTGCATGGGTGGTGGGGAGAGGGTCTGGCTAAGTAGGATACGTGGGACGTTAAAAAATGCTCGTCTCCAACTTCAGGTCTTTGCTTCGTTTGTGCGTGCTCATATCTGACCCGTGCTGCCAAATCAGGGCCGCAAGGTGGTGATCTTCGGTGTGCCCGTAAGTTCTCTCTTCCCCAGCTCCATTCCTTTCAGTTTCCCACCCAGCTCCAACTGTTCTTCCCTAAATTGCATGCTGCTCTCCATCCCTTCCCTCTGCTTGCCTTCCTCTTTCTATCAAGTTTATAAGTTGAGCTACACCCTTACCGTCTCCTCAGGACATTCTCATGTCCCGTTTCTCATTTCTCCCACTCGTGACTTTGGCCATCCCCCTGCTTGCTCCCCCAGGGTGCGTTCACAGGAGTGTGCTCCAAGGCGCACGTGCCTGGGTACCTGGCAGCGCTGCCTGAGCTGAAGGCCAAGGGCGTGGATGCGGTGCTCTGCACGGCTGTCAATGACCCCTACACACTGCACGCCTGGGCCAACCAACTGCAGGCACATGACAAGGTCTGTGCTTCTTATTTTTGCTTCTATTTTTCAAGACGCAACTTTCAAGGCTGCCCTTCTTTTCTTGGATGACGGCCATGCCTTTGGCGGCATGTGACTGTGTCGTGCCCCCAGAATTCAGCGATTTTTCACTGATATGGTTCTCAGCTCCTACCGCCCTCAAACGAGCTAAACTGATTCTTTCAGGCAAATCCTTTCTTGATGTATAATCTGTTCAATCGGCCTCGTAACGGTGCACAATAAATGCAAAATCAGCCTCCCAGCCCTCCCTGTTGATCTCCTAGCTCTATCCCAGGTCTCTCAGAGTCTCTGATACTAACGCCCTTTCTCCCAGCCCTACTTTGGGCACTCTTTCCCATCCCGCCGATTCCTCTTGCACTCCCCCTCCTGTTCCCTCGCACTACCTCCCGGTTTGCCTGTTTCTTTCACTGCTGACCAGTCGATCCCAGCCTAGTCAAATAGCAGGAGGCTTGACATCTCTGGACTGATGGAGAATGTTATGTTACTTTTCCTTGCTGTGTTTTCTTTTCTTTTCTTTTCTTTTCTTCTCTGTTAACCAATGTTGAGGTACGCAGCCTTGGCGAAATCCAATTTAGGCAAACTTCTCATCTGAGAACACTCCTTTCTTCTGTTGTTTTTCTTATGCCAGATTGACTTCTATGCTGATTTCGATGGTTCTTTCCATCGCCATTTGGGCCTTCAGTTTGACTGCTCGGGAGCACTTTTGGGGATGCGCTCGAACCGGTATGTATCTACTATTCACATAAACGGCTTCCGTGTCATTCCCTTTTGCACAACTTCTTGTAGCTCTGCATGTGTGGCTGTGACAAACTATTGGGTGTGCTGCATGCACACTTTTCACATCCCTACTTCTGCATTCAGGTGGGCTGCGGTGGTGGAAAATGGAGTAATCAAGACCCTTAAAGTTGAGGAAAATCCAGGGGAATTGCAGGTCAGCAGGGCTGAGGACATACTTACATCACTTCAGTAATTACTGCACTCACAGGTTGTCAGCTCAAGAGATTTTTGAGTAGATTGTATCCAGTACTGTACTTTTTTTAAAGTAGAGGTAGGTACTAATATCTCTTCATCAAGGAGACGACAACAAGACAAGAAGTGTAACAACTCTCCTAACGGAGTTTACTGCTTTCCCAAACTCTCGGAAGTGTAGCCGATTGCATCTACACCGAGGTTAGCGTCTAGCTAGGTTAGCTCTCTATATTGTATCGTCAGTCTATATTGTCACAACTACCATAATACAATCATTATTCCCCGAAATTCTGCACCATGTTTAGCACAAATAAGAGATAAACGACAATGTTTCTGTAAAATTTGGAATGTGAACATTGTCTTGTAAGAGCAGGTTTGTACTGCTTTTACGAGTTTATTGAAGATAATATTCTGTTTCATATCTCCTATTTCACATACGACAAAGAAGTTGAATAATCTGGGAATAAAGCAAGCACAAACTACGTTCACAAAAAAAACGTCCATACTACAGTCTACATGTCCCACTCAGCATACACTAATGACCACAAGGAATCCACCTGGAAACTGCTTAGAAGCACTTCCTGTGCACAATAGAGGGACCAGACTCATCGTACTCGCTCTTAGCAATCCACATCTGCAATGACGAAAAAACAGAATGATAGTTAAGTGAATTGAACTTAGTGCATTAGGTAGGGAAACGAGTGCAATCAGAAAATAACGCGGTTCTTACCTGCTGGAAGGTAGACAGGGAGGCCAGAATGGAGCCACCGATCCAGACACTGTACTTGCGCTCAGGAGGGGCGACGACCTTGATCTTCATGGTGCTGGGAGCAAGCGCGGTGATTTCCTTCGTCATGCGGTCGGCAATGCCAGGGAACATGGTGGTACCACCAGACAGCACGATGTTGCCGTACAGGTCCTTTCGGATGTCGACATCGCACTTCATGATACAGTTGTAGCACGTCTCATGAATGCCAGAAGCTTCCTTACCAACCAGGGACGGGTTGAACAGCACCTCAGGGCACCTAAACCTCTCAGAGCCGAGAGTAATCATCTGACCATCAGGAAGCTCGTAGCTCTTTTCGAGGGAAGAAGAGCTTTGAGCAGTGGCCATTTCAGCCTCAAAATCAATGGCCACGTAGGCAAGCTTCTCCTTAATGTCACGGACAATTTCTCTCTCTGCGGAGGTGGTGAAGGAGTAGCCCCTCTCCGTCAGGATGGTCACCAGATACTCCGTGAGGTCACGGCCAGCAAGATCCAGACGAAGGATGGCGTGAGGGAGAGCATAACCCTCGTAGATAGGGACAGTGTGGGACACACCATCACCAGAGTCGAGCACAATACCTGTGAATAGAAAAAACATTGATTGCTTAGTCTACTTCATAATGCAGTAGCTCACACAATATAGCTGAACACAAAATACCGTAAACTTACCGGTGGTACGACCGGAGGCGTAGAGTGACAGCACGGCCTGAATGGCGACGTACATAGCAGGGACATTGAATGTCTCGAACATGATCTGGGTCATCTTCTCGCGATTAGCCTTGGGGTTAAGAGGGGCCTCGGTAAGAAGAACAGGGTGCTCCTCAGGTGCCACACGAAGCTCGTTGTAAAAGGTGTGGTGCCAAATCTTCTCCATATCATCCCAGTTGGTGACGATACCTGAAAAAGACGATAACATGTCAATGTGGTGGCTTGCATATTACAGTTTAAGCATAAAAAGGTGGTGTTGGTTTTACCGTGCTCGATAGGGTACTTCAGGGTCAAGATTCCTCGCTTGGACTGCGCCTCATCACCCACATAGGCATCCTTCTGTCCCATTCCAACCATAACTCCCTGGTGACGAGGACGGCCAACAATGCTGGGGAACACCGCACGGGGAGCATCATCTCCAGCGAATCCAGCCTGCAGAGTAGGAAATATGTTACGCAACGTTAAAAATGAACCGTTAAGTTAACGATCACATATTTTTGCGAACTAGCCTAGATCGACTCACCTTCACCATACCAGACCCATTGTCGCACACGAGAGCAGAGATATCCCCCTGATCGTCAGCCATTGTAGTAGTTTAAACTGGAAAAGTAGAAAGTGATGAGAAATGTGTCAAAAAGACGTCATTAATTTCGCCGATTACAGTAGAAATCAGACGCCTGAAATTCTACTATTAGAGGGATCCAAGTGGAATTCCAGAATAGGGGCTCACCTAGGGAAATGGCAGACGAGGTGGGAGATCTGAGTCTGGGACTGGACTGGAGGTGAGTGAGGAGAGCAAGGACGGCCAAAATGAATGGAGAGATGGGAGGATAAAAGCGTAGGCCAAGGAGGTGCGAGTCCCACTCACATAGGCCCAACCCCAGAAATTTCGGCCAACAAATGAGAGCAATCTTTCCACGTTATCCCTCCAACCGGGCACGTTATCAGAACCAAAGCGTACGTGCCTGGGCATCGCACCTTCCTACTGGTTTGGTCCACCAAAACTGCCCCGAAAAAATGGTTCGTCAACGTAAGCTCCGCCTGAGGCACATTCATGCGCGCTTGGGTTGGCTCGGACCCAGCCATTCTGGCATGGCGACCCCCTCGAACCATACATCCCATCGCCCACCAACCTCATCTTGAATCAACGACTGCCACACATCCCTAGGATACCTTCGAGAAGGGTGCGGGCGAAAACTTCAGCGCAGCGTTATGGTTTGATGTACATAGTTGCTGTGACTTTCAGCATATAACCAGTCCAAATACCTTCTAGAAATTGGCCCACAAAAAGAAAAATAGAAAATTCCATAATGATGGGACCTGCAAATCAGACCCTCTTATCATATACTTCTTAGGCTGATTTGTCTTCTGAGTACTTTTTTGTGTAGAAGGTATGGTTCATCAGTCCGTGCTCACCTCTCGCCCGACCAGAGGGCCCACTTTTGCCAGGTGACGTCGGCCCAGGCTTTCTATGATGCTCTAGTTAAGCGCTACTCCTCCCCCTCTTCTGCCACCCCAGGCCGTCTTGCGCTGCCGTTTCTCTTCCCATAGATGTCAGACTTCACCACTGTAGCTGACCTCATGACCCACCTGCGCTCCCTTAACTCTCGCTACCGTGCTGCCCTCAAGCCAGAGTTTCTCCATGTACCTCACTCTGTACTTCCTCGCGACTCGCCTCTCTGACACGCTTCGTGTTCAATACCACTTCCTCTCCCGCAAACCCGCTAGTCTCAACCTTGCCTCGTTTGAGACTCGTCTCCTCGAGGCCGAGACCAGTGCCGGCGCTGTAGCTGCCTCCCGTAGCACCCCCAGCACCTCCTTCTTTGAGGGGTGCACTCCCTCTCTTCTGGCGTCTTCTGTTGCCTCTGCTGCTGTTGTTGACTTCCTCGATGATGAGGAGGTCGGCGATGCGTCCTCTCCTAGCAGGAGGTGCAACAGAGGTGGGCGTAGGGAGGGTGGGGGTGGTGGGGGTGGTGGAGGTGGGGGTGGCGGTGAGGCGAGCGGGGGTGGTGGGGGTGGCAGGGGTGGTGGTGAGAGTTGGGGTGGTGGTCGTAGTGGAGCTGGCGGGGGTGGTGGCATAGGTGCGGCGTCTGGTGGAGCTGCGTCTGGAGGTGGCGGTTCTGGGGGTGGGCAGCAGCAGCAGCAGAAGCAGCCATGTCAGCAGGAGACACCGTCGCCGCAGCAGCTTCGTGAGTGGGTTGCTCAGCGGGGCTCCACGGGCGGTGGAGGTTCTGCTACTCGTCCTTGCCCGTACATGCGTCACACTGGCCGTCAGGTCGGAGTCGTCCGCGACAAGATGGGGCACGGTGAGGCTCGCTGTTTTTGCCGCCTAGAGGACTCCTTCCACGGTGAGTTCGGTGAACGAGCCAAGGTCCTTGATTGGTAAGGATTGCTCAAGAGGGGCGTTGATATATTTTCTCTTGATTGGGACAAGATTTCTGTAGGCATCTATGCCATATATGCTGCTGGTGCTAGTGCTCAGGGTGAATACTATTCCTTTGTGCCTAGGTCAGTCTGTGTAGAGGCTGCTAGTGTAGGTGCTTGTGAGACTGTTTGCACAGATGCAGTCCCTGCAGAGGCGTCGCTCTCGCTCACGCTGAACTCCGGTACTACTCGGTGCTTCTTCCGCGACTGCACCACCATCAAACCACTCCCGGCACCTGTCCTTGTCAGTCTGGCCGACCCCACCTCTGGACCGGTCGTTGCACGCAGCTCCACTGTTTTCCCATGTCCGGCAGTCCCCTTTGGCTCCCTCACCGGTCTCCACCTCCCCTCGTTCGCTACGACCTTGGTGAGTACCGGTCACCTCCAGGATCTGTAGGTCCCCACCACTATTCATGGGGCGAGCGCGTTGCGGTCTGTACGGACACAGAGAATGGAGACTACCTTGCCACGTTCACACGGAGGCCTAGGTCTGGACTGTACACACTGAACACTGAGTCCCCTCAGGTGGCTGCGTCAGGTCAGGTAGCGGCGTCTTGCTCGTGTCGGTTGCTTACGCACCAGTCCCTCCACTGGCACCACCATCTTGGTCACCCCTCTCTTAAGCGCCTCCGCAGCTTGCACTCGCGTCACCTTGTCGCTGAACTCCCGCAGACCCTGCCCCTGCTCCCGCCGTCGCTTGTGCCGCCTTGCACTCCCTGCGCCGAGGGGCGGCAGCCCGCTGCTCCTCACTCCTCCTCGTTTCCTCCGACCATAGCTCCTCTGCAAACGCTGCACATGGACATGTGGGGCCCCGCCCCCGTCCCCGCCCCCGCGCCGGGAGCGATTCTTTCTGTTGGTTGTTAACAACTTCACGCGCTACACCACGGTGTTTCCCTTATAGCATAAGGGCGACGTGCGTGATGTTTTGATCCCTTGGATTGCGATGTTCATCTCTAGCAGAGAGCTCGTTTGCAGCACGACCTCCTGGTGCTTCATCTGCACTCTGATTGTGGGGGTGAGTTTTCCTCCGGTATTCTTGACGACTTTTGTCGTAAGGAGGGCATCACCAAGTCGTTCACGCTTCCGGCCTCTCCACAGGAGCAC